TGACGGACAGCGCGGAAAGCGAAAGTTTCTGTGTCATGCAAGTGACGCAGTAAACGTTTCATTGAGGCCAAACCTCTCCAGGATAACTGAGCGAAAGCCTGGTATGCAAGGCAACTTGGCAGTGTTGCAAAGAGATGAACAACGAAACTACCCTAATTACGAAGCAAGGTGAACGTTTGATACGCTAACAGCTAAAGTTGATGGCAATCGGTAGCATACTGCAGTATGGTGAATAAACCCACGTGTTCCATTAAGAGCGATATATGGTTGGCGGCATCCAGTTCCGAGTTTTCCTGTCAGTGTGGCCAGCCACAGGACGCCTGCGCCTACAGAGGGACCATGGATAGCTTGCGCTGCACCACCCACAATTGCAAGCACACACCCCATATCCAGTGTAAACCCGAAGGAATAAGATCGGGAGGCATGTGGATGGGAGCCACGTTTCATCAACGGAGCTGGTCCACACTCCTTCACAGGCAAACACAAGCACACTGCATTTGGGGAATCAAGCGCACACAAGACGATGGCTGGATCGTAGTCCGATCCACACTGAGTGCGTGGAACCACTCTTCAAACCTAACACGGCCACAAGGACCGTGCATCCCGTCCCTTCCAGCAACGACAAACTGTCTCCTGGAGCCAGTATGGACGAGGTAGTGGGTAATAGACAGATAGGCACCTTGTCAACATGCACATCATGTGCAGCCACACCAGGGATGTCAAACAACAGCCAATCACTTGAAATAATACTAACAAATAAAGTATATCTGTCAAAGCACACGGCTATGCCGACATAACTCTCCGCTAAATTAGCATATGTGTAAGTTGGTTAGCAACGAATCCGTGATAATTGCAAAATGCCCACACGTTTTTCAAGAATCGATACAAAAGCGATAACGTTCACGAAGATAACCACAATTAGTGTAAGGGACGTGGCCAGTTAATAGAAAAGTATTCAGGTAGGCAGAACAAGCCAAATAAAGTGGAACGTAATGTATCCTAGTTTAAGTGTAATTTGGTTTAGCCCAACTGCGGTGAAGAAGCACCAAGAATGCAACTTTAGCCTCCGCATGAGGCACAAGAGAGAGAGCGATATATATATATATATATATATATATATATATATATATATATATATATATATATATATGCCAATCTGTGCTGCAAATATAGCGCTATCAGAACCATGGCAGAATAAGAAAACAAAATAGGAATAGGAAAAATGTACGTACTTTTTCTGATATTCCACTTACAGTATTTTAGAATTTTTGTTTATTTGGGAAGCGAAGCAAAATTATAGCAACACGCAGAGATACATGTTCGCCACTGACGTCGGTCTTGAGCCATGACATCCAGGGTTTTCAACCAGGCACACCGTATCTTTGAAATCCCAACCAGGGAGTCGAGAACAACTGACCGAAGCCGTCACCTGAAGCCATGTCCAGTAACCGCGAACAACGCCCGACGCGGAAGAGGATGAGCGGGTATGCGGAGAACGTGTCCAAGCAACCGCAACTGGAAGAGCTCTTCGAGCGATTGGCTGCCTCCACCCAAGACATGCTGTCTAACTGCTACAGTAGTCACGTAGTGTAGCCATCACACACGGGCAATGGAGCGCAAGCGAAGGTGCACGAAGCCAGACAGTTGGCGCAGGTCATCGGTACGAACAGATCAAGTCTCGCAACCGTACAACAGTACAACGTAGACGGTCGCGCAATAAACCCGCGTTAATTGCCAACTATAATTTCTCGATCACGTCACGACTATGATTGACGGAGGAATGGCAATTATTATCACTCTGTTGGACATGCAAAAGGCATTCGACCGCGTGCAGCACAAGCCAGTGCTGTCTGCTCTAGAGTCATATGGAATTGGAAATCCTCTGCCTAACTGGTTCGTCTCATACCTAAATGTTCGAATTCAGGTAGTTAAAATTGGTCAGCAACATTCTACACCGAAACAAATAACCAGCAGCGTCTTCCAGAGAAGTGTGCTCGGAGCACTACTTTTCCTAGTCTACGTAGACAACATATGCAACCCTATCAAACATGGGCACCCAGTTCTGTTTGTAGATGACGTCAAACCGGTTTATTCATTTCGTCCAGACCAACTACAAACGTGCCTGGGAAAAATCTGTGAGGACCTATCGGCACTAAATATATAGCTAGTGAGCGTTTATTAATGAAGTTCTCCGCAGTGAACTCCCAAGTACTTGGGTACAGATGCCGCATTCTGGAAGGCTCTACCATACTTGCCGGAAACGTGATCCCAACATCTGATTCAGTTCGGGACATAGGAATTAGGTACTTCAACTCCTTCAATTTCTCTGAACATGTTCTTTATCAGGTTGCGAAAGCAAGGCAGTTATGTGGATATATCACCAGAACATTCTCCCTACCTGAAGGACGACTTGAATCATTCAAGACAATCGTACGACCGACTCTGGAGAAAGAAAGACAGAACGACTCTGGAAAATGTCCAACGATTATTTACCAAGCTGATCATGGGGCGCTGCTCAAACCTGACTTATTATGATCGCTGTCGAAAACTCCAACTGGATCCTCTTTGCCTGAGACGCTTAAAGAACAACCTCGTTCTCTTCTACAACACTATAAACCAACGGATTTACGCAGACAGCACCGCACTTGAATTGCGAAAGACTGTAATCTAACCCACACGTAAAGGCGGCTACTTAATACGCAAAAACCTTTCAAATCATAAAACTCGATCGAATTTCTTCTTAGTGAGAGACACTGATCTGTGTGGAACAAACTACCCCTACAGATGCGCATGTGTACAAGCTATATCACGTTTCGAAATTCCATTTAGACGTTTCTCACTATACCGAATGTGTTGAAGATCTTTGACTAACAGCAAACTCTAGAAACACTGAAAGAAGCTGGTATAAAAAAACATATGGGCAGATATTCGCTTACAACTAGCTTACCCACTACATGTCATTACATACCGTACCAAATCCCGGGTCTTTGCAGCCTAGTAGTCCCTCCGTTTATTATCTACTCCTGATGATGTAAACATCCGTAAATTTTACATATTAGGTGCACGGGTCTAGGACCCGAGGGAAAAAAATCACGATCCGAAATTTTATTAATAAACGTTTCTTTACTGTTATGATTTACGCCGCATAAACCATGAAAGCTATTCATTACACAAATGATCGCTCCCACTCATGGAGCCGTGTCTCATCTGTCGGTAGGTATACAAATTTATTTATGTATTTACCTGTAACATTTGGTCTAATGCTTCTAGTAATTGCTTTTTTTATCTAACGAATGCAACGGTTTCTGACCCACTTTTGGTAGGCTATTTGTTTAAATGCATAGTTCCGTTATTTCCGTATAAGATGTCGATTACCCTCATTCTGCACCATATTAAGAAGCAGTGATATACCTTACGTGACTCAACCATACTGAATACTGTGAGTCAAAACCTTAAGGAGTTTGGAAGGAAGCGGTGGCCTGTGGATGGTGTAGGTCTGGTCTGGTTCAGTTCAGTTCGACAGATAATATGTGACTCGTGCACCAAAGTGAGACGGACACAGCTGAATTCACACAAGTAAGCGAAACAATGGTGTCGAACGATTCACTCACAATTCCTGCACCAAATATAGGACGCTGAACACGTTCACTGCTCGCGCGATGTTTTTACCAGATATAAGATAAACCGCTAAGGTAGCGATTGTAGAACGCAATTATTCCCTTTGTATATGTCGAGCTGATTGGTCAGGTTTAACAACCGTACAGGAGGATTGAAAGGACAGCTGCGAGAATGGTCGCACCTCCGCCACAAGTGGCGAGAATTTGCAAAAGCGCCTCGACCATATGCAATAAGGTTCATGACCTTGTTTTCTATCTCAGTCACTGAGAGAGATGCGCACATAGATAAACTTCCGTACAACTTCTAGCTAGTCAGCACTAAGGGTCAGCGCAACGGGGGAACGCTTTGCAGCTGGAGAGTGCACAGCAAAGTCAGAAATGGTGAACAACTAGTTCTAATATGTTGAGCGCTGTTTAGCAGGTTAGCGAACTGCCACAAATGAAGGCAAAAAGACGTCTACTCCGATGGAGCTTTGAAACCGAACGGCACAATATCGGCTGTTTGTTGTGGTCCAGTGTAACAGCAACTTTCACACGTCTGCCGACAACGATAATGGCGTCCAGACTGCACCGAACGACTGATCCAACATCACCGGTGACGTGAAGTGTGCAAGCAAGTCAGGAGGACAAAGGAAGGCATCAGTAGGACGCCGGTGCTTCGTATCGACGCTTCACTTCCTAACAACCATTACTTGCGTGTGGATTAAAGACACTGCGAAGTCCCATGTACCTACGCAGAATAGAATTGACTACCATCCAAGTGTAAGCCAGAAACCTTATTTGCTTGGCCCTCGGCCGGTCGATGGCATGTGAAAACACTATGAAGAAACATGAGAGGATATAGCAGAGTAGCGTTATACTTTCTTGAAGTGGGAGGTCTGGATAGTTTAGTTAAAGACTTTGACGAAACAACACATATTGCAGTCCAAGAAATAATAAATGATGTTTTATACGATTGCGTTCTTCCCACTCATGGCCAGCCCACCCATCAGTTATACAGATCCTTTTGACCCAGTGTTGGCAAACCAATTGAGAGCCTATATTTCCCTAGTCTTCGAGAATTGTTGCTGGCATGACAACATGAGTCAAGTCATATTCATTCAATGTACTAAAGTGTAAGAACAATAATTTATAGAACTGGCTGAACAGATCCTTTGGGGAAAAATAAAGATAAACTAAACAATAGTCTTTGTTCGAAGCAGTCTGGTCTAGTTCATATGGAAAAATCGATAGGCCCAGTGAGTAACTAAGGCAGAAACACGTGAATAAAGGGCCAGGAGGACGCTGGTAGCAACTAAAAATGTAAGTGATGGACACAAATAGCTTAGCTGGATGAAGTGATCATACTAACAAAAGTAAGCAAACTGAGCGATGATCACCCACCATCCAGAAAACGCCCAAAATCCTTGATAAAATGCATTTGCTAGCGCACCAGGTGAGGTCGCACTATCTTCGAATGGATCGCTGAAGCTGCTCACACTTCCTGTGAAGTAACCAGGATAAACAAATGAAACATACCTCGAGCCAAATAATAACAACCGAAGCCGACAATAAGTAGTAATGCAGCGACTTTGCATATGGTGAAAACGACAGCAAGTTTGGTGGCCCAGGATACACGATAGCAGTTGACAAAACAGAGGGTCACTGGAGGGTAAACAATAATTGAACTTACGTAGAGCGAGAACTGCGACAGTTTGTAGAGCAGATTTCGGGATATCACAAGTAAAAAAGAATGGACGCAGTATGTACTGTGCGAACACGATAGAGTTTACTGCGCAGCTAACCGTCCCAATAAGGACAAATGTGATCCATAAGGCCATAAACGCCAGAAATGGACCAAAGGTATCAAGTAAATAAATGTATTCTCCACCAGATTTCTGTATTGTAACGCCCAATTCTGCGTAGACGATTGCTCCAAGGGCACTTACTAGCCCCGTTATAACCCACATAACAAATGAAAGTCCGACAGAACGAGTATTCCTTAGGACACCAACGGGTGATACGAATATTCCGGAGCCGATAATAAGTCCGATAACAATACTGACGCCTTGCAATATGCCAATTTCCTTCTTTAACGTCACCGTATTCACTTCACCATCCTTGGTTCGAGCAGAAAACCTAACCATACTTGGAGTATGCGGCCGGTCGAGGATTCTGGGAGCTTTCGTGTATGTGGATCGTAATAGACCTGAGGGGCTGAAATGCAAAATGGTTATTCGTAGGCAGTTGGATAGTTTCGTTACAACCATCCAGTGATAAACGGAGCTGAATGGAAGATATATCTGACGGGCTGGATGTCGTTGTCACAGCCGTCCATGGAGAATCGAACTTGAGGTGAATGGATGGCGTAAGCTAGTTTTGGAAATGACTGATCTAACAATACTGTAAACGAAGTGGAACGGAAAAAAGAAAGCAACGAGAGTTTTCTGGGATAACTTCGATGATCTCTTATTTGTTGGCTTGTTGTGACGTTTTCTAACCTGTTACAATACAGAAGTACCGGACCGTTGGATCCGTGGGTCATGAAAACGGAAAATAATGCGAGGAGTAATGGCAGGTAAGGATCGCGGTTAAGGGTACAGTATTGTGCACCAGGACTGGCTTTGGTTGTTGCCAAGGTTCTGTGAAAATATGACGTCTAATGGTGTGGAGTGCTGCAAAGGTGCCACTTCTCGCTCAAAGACCGTCCAATACAATCTCTGCTGCAAACAGACGCGCACAGTCTGCTGCAACATTGGAGACCTACACCAACGTCTACAACGCACCAACTCCTAAGTCTCCATTGTTCATTGTGGCCCGTGTTGAGCAGTGACTAGCGACCAACATCTCCAGATGAACGTGCGCCACTTCAGTCTACATGTTGATCCCGTTTAGGCCGTATCCAACTATGGAGATGGATCACCTTTTCTTTTAGTGTACCCACCCGCGTCTGGGTACTCCATACCAAGAGGGGACCGAGCCCGTGCCTATTCCAACACGTTGGCAGAAACGCCACCGCTCAACAAGGACATAAATGGGATAAAAGATAAGCCCAAGACCTGTAGCAAGATCCGGAACCTCAGCAACAGCTATGACAACAGCAAATGCAAACAGGGCTACGAGGAAGAGGGCATCACAGCCCAAGATGAAATCAGACGATACAAACAAGGAGCTAAAGCTCATCCCAGAGTGTAACAGCCGGAGCAACTGATTAAAGAAAAAATATCCATAAAAGCCAGCTTCACTAGAAAGAAATAAGCCCCCGCTCTCAACCGCCGCCTGAAAATCACGAACACTCCGGAATCCGACAGAGACCCCACCTGACAGAATACTCGATGACCAGGCCTTTCTTAAGCGAACGGCCTCCACACTGTTTAATGCGAGTAAACAAGGGATCAATCTCGTCTCTGGTCGTCCCCTTGGCAGAAAACAAGAGGACCCACTAAAGGTTCGTCTGTTGAGAATTGCCTGTCAGAATGACGTCTGTCGCTTGTGAGCAAATGCATAGTCGCACAGGTTTAACACTCTGACTTACCAGGCGTCCTCTTGTCGCGATTACGGCGCACAATGCTGCGCTTGCATACATTCGACTCGGACTCATGGCCTACATTCGACGGATTCAGGATCACAGCTTCATTGTTTACCTCGCTACCGTATTTCTAGCAACAGCTTTGCCGAACGCACGAGCAAAACTACCTCAGTTTTGTGTGCAAACCTAACATTTTGCCACCTTTAAGAGTACGCTTCGCGGGCTTTCCAGCCAACTTCAGTTTGCAACAATCCGATATTGTGTACTGTAGCTGCAACTCACTTTTGAAGCCACCAGCTTCACATCCATTTGGCCAGTGTGGATTTCGCTTTCGTATGCGCTAAGCGACTGTGTCCGTGTGCGCCCTAGCCCGCGCCAGCAACCGCACCTTGCAGTTATCCGATTGATAGCAATTCGTCCCCTGGAGACGGCTCACGCCGGACCTCAAAGGTTAGAAGACTATCCTAGAAGGTACCATAAAAATTGTTTCCCTTGGATCATCGACTTCCTAAAAGGCCGAGCAATGCGCGTGAAAGTGAACCAAATCTTCTCCGATCCTGTGCCTACGACCAGTGGCACTCCAAAAGGATCTGTGCTTGGATCACGATCCTTCAAACTGTACATCAACGACCTCCTGACTGCACTTCAAACCGACTACTTAATTTACGCCGATGACCTCAAGCTATGATTAAGAGTATCCATCCTTGAAGATGCTGACAGACTGCAGGGGCTCTAGACCAGCTGCACAACTGATCTATCAAGTGACGACTGCTAGAAGACCGGGATAAATGTGCTGTTTACACAACAGGTAATACTGATCTGTATGGTGCGTACGACGTTGGTGGGTTTCTCCTCAAGAATATCTCTCAAAGAAAGACCGGGTTTATAATGTCTTCTGAGGTCTAAACATCCTAGGATATGTTGAAGAAGGTAGTTACTGGAAAGAGGTTGGTAAATACTATAGAGAGATCATTCGCTCGGATGAATGCTGAGATTTTTCGACATCTGTTCACCTCAACGTAAGTACAATACTAAAATATAGGCAACCAGCTATCCATCCGCTTTCAGTATATGAATTCGCTCTGCTGGAAATCTTGGGCTTCGTGGTCCCACATAATCCATTAGATTCTAGAACCTGGATGTGTTCCCCGTGGAGTTCTGCCGTTATCAGGGTGGTCTCATCGACACTGTTTGCGTTTTCCGAAGAAAATTCAAAGTGAGTTACAACAGTTCTTACAGCTCAAGGCTGACTGTTTCACACGAGGTCACATATGGTAGCTGGTTAAACCAATAAAACACCGAATTCGCAAGGGTGTGGTCTTTTTCACTCCAGTGGTAATTAACTGGAACGGCTTGCCGGAAGAAATTGTGGATGTACCACCGGAGCAACGCTTCAAGTGGCTGTTAGACAACCACTCGATGAGAATGGCGGGACCTTGCTGCTGTTACTGCAACTGCGATGAACCGTCGAGGAACGTTGCATTGTAACGACATGCAACAAACCCACAATGGTTCGAAATCGATGGAGCTGAAAAGTCTAACCTCTTGTTCTCTATAACTCAATGAACACATTTCAAACACATTTCAAAACAGTGTTTAACGAAAGGGAAGACGATTATAAAGTTAGGGTTGGGAGTATGGTTATGATTGGATGATAGATAGCAGAATGAAGATCCATCGTTAACCACAACTTCCCTATCATTGTGGGTATGGCTTGGGTCACTGCGAAACAAGGTTTCACAGAAGACATATAGAAACATGGTCCCAGCATATTAAGATGAGAATACAATAGTTGCTTGAAACATTTCTCTGCCTCGGTATCAACGATGGACTGAGGTAGGCGGTCCCAGTCATTAACTACTCAAGTGGATAAAGACAGATTGGATCGCACACGGAGACGCCGCGGTTTGAATAGTTTCCAACTGTGACCTCGAGTCTAACCCACAGTATTGATATAAAAGAATTCTCGCAATTCCCTCTATAACTCGCCTTTAAGAATGCATCGGGTAAAAAGGAAATATCCGCGGAGACGACGGTAATCCAGGGAGAAAAGGTTTAGTCGTTGGAGTCGGAAAGGACAAGACAAGTCCCGTAACTTAGGGACGGTTTTAGATGTACACCGCTAAACCTTCTCAATCAGATCACCTTCGGTGAGAGCATAAGCAGCAGGTAGTCCATATTCGAGAACCGGGTGCACAGGTGAAGTAAAAAGGAGTCTGAAGATTCCCAGGGTTAAACGGAAGAAAGCTATATATATATATATATATATATATATATATATATATATATATATATATATATATATATATATATATATATATATATATATATATATATATATACCACTGCCTTGTGGGTCAGGCTATTGAGTCAAAGGCTCCGGGTGGAGTCCCTCAAGCAAACATCCAATGCACAACCGCCACCTCGCGTGCGATTGCCCACCAATGCAATCGTATGCTTCCGCGCAAAGCAGTCAACATCGGATGCTGGAATGTGCGCACACTACTGGACCGGAACTCGAGTGAATGCCCCGAGCGACGCACTGCATTCGTCGCGATGGAATTGGCGTGCTACAACATCGATATTGTGGCGCTCAGTGAAACCCGGCTCGTTGAGCATGAAGCATGGTGCATGAAGCAGGCGCTGGCTACACATTCTACTGGGTGGGCAAAGCCGCCTCAGCACCACGTGAACGTGGGGTCGGATTTGCAATATCCAATCGCCTCCATGGCCAGCTGGTGGGTGAACCAACAGGCATCAGCGCGCGACTGCTGACTGTTCGTCTACGACTCGGAAGAGGTAAGTTTGCCACTTCTATAAGCTCGTACGGTTCGACCATGTGTTATCCTGATGGCACGCGTGATCAATTCTACACTCAGCTATCCTCTGTGATACGGTCTGTGCCGAGGAGCGACCGACTGTTTCTGTTGGGTGATTTCAACGCGCGCGTTGGGCTTGATGCATCGGTGTGGACAGTTGTTATCGGTTCGCATGTCATTGGTTCAGCGAATGCGAATGGTGAGAGACTGCTCTCACTGGGTGTCACTCATGGCCTGAAGATCACGAACACTCGGCCTGCACTGAGTGCGAGTGATATAGCAACTTGGGCGCACCCACGGAGTGGTCACGCTCACCTGCTCGACTATGTCATCGTACGTCAGCGTGATATGCGTGAAGTGCGCATGACCCGTGTACTGCGTGGAGCTGAGTGTGGCACTGATCACAAATTGGTGCAGACCAAACTGTACATATATTTTCGTAAATCTATGTATTGCACTCCCACCGTGAATCGGCCTAAATTTAACATTCTCTCCCTCAGTACTGCGGTGAAACGAATTGAGTTGGAGAAGGCGATGGCGCACGCCTGTATGATGTGGAATGCATAGCCACAGTGGGCGACCTGTGGCGCCACATTCGCGACCAGGTGACAGCTGCTGCCGAGACCATTAGGCGCGCAAACTGTAAGCAGCATTATTGGTTTGATAGGAACAATGAGATATGTGGCGCATTGGTGACAAAGAAGAATGTAGCATTTGCTGCACATATTGGAGACCCCAGTGAATTGGGGAAGAAGAATCAGTTTCGCACAATTCAACGGCGACTGACTCCAGAGCTTTGTCGTGTAAAAATGCATGGTAGACGGAGAATGCGAAGCAGATAGAATGCTACGCCGAAGGTCGCCAACACAA